TACTGGGAATTGAACTCAGGACCTTGCACTTGCCAGGCTGGTGTTTATACCACTGAGCTATATCCCTGGTCCTATTTGTAACTGTAAAGCTTAAAAATAAACTGGTATTGAAACATCATTTATGTCTTCAAAAGCAGTCCTCAGACTACATCAATTATAATAACTTATTCCTGAATAAAAAGCACTAGTTGGAATGTACATTGTTTTGATTTTCTTACCTGGATGTTCTTTTAAGAGGAACTGTAACTCATATTTTAGTTATTATTAGAATCTCTAGTATTATTCAATTACAAATATTTACAAACTGCTATCCCACTGACATTTTTCATATTCTGATTAAGATAAAAAATATTTCATAATAGGTAATTCAGGAGGAAAGTTCTTGTTTTTAAACCAGTGAAAATAAGTTGTAAAGCAAATTCCACAAAGTTTGATCAGTTTTTCAGTTTAATTGGTGTTCCATGAAATCAGTTCGGAATAGAGAGCTTAAGATATCCAAAAAAGAGAAATTATTCTATTATTCTCAACCTTCATGTTTCCCAAGAAACATTTTAAAAGGAAATAAAAGGTTTTACACTGAGACTTGTCACAGAGTTAACTAAAACACAGGGATGGTGTGTGTGGCTCAAGTGCTACTGATGGGGAGACAGATTCAGGTGTGTCCAGGCAGAGAAAAAAGGTCCTGAGACTGCTGCTCAACAGCACCTGCTCTGGACACTGCTGTTTTGAGCCCTAACAGTTTCTTTTCAAATTTTCTGATGCCATCAGGGAGATGGTTTAACAAGGTAGCAATGCCTAAAATCTCCTTAATAGCAGGAGATAATTCAGGCTGGCACTTGTGCCACTGAGCTATATCCCCGGCTCCAATAGCAGGAGATAATTCAGAGGCATCTGCCACTCTTGGTGTTTGGTAGGGTCAGAGGACTCTGGGAACTGGCTGTATCTGAACATAGAACCTAGAGCTCTGACTCAAACGGGTATGGCAGAGAGCAGATGCATAAAACAAATATTAGGGATTCTCTACAGGGAGGTTTCACCAAGGCCGGAATCCTCTTTATACCAAATGTTTATCTCCTTTCTCATAGTACCAGGGTAAGGGGGACTTACCTGTAAAATATTCTCCAAATTCTTGCTCTAGTTTAATTGCTCGATCATATGTTTTCTTGGCTTGTTCCTCTGTTAGACGCTTATTCATCTCCCTGGGAAAATGACAGTTTGGGCTTTAGCACACAAGGGGCACATAGCAAATCTTTAATATTGAAAATTCATGGCAAAACAGAATCCATAGGAAGCATAGTTAACCTTGCCTGTAGCTTCCTAGTCTTTATTCAGGACTCCTCCTTGTTGGACCAGTTCTAGCTACCAGGGCTCCCTGCCAGGGAGCTTGCTTCTCAAGGGCCCCACATTGGACTGAGGCAGAATCGCTCTCCTTAGGAGTTGCTGGTCTGGTTGGGTCCCTGTTCTGTCCCCTGCAGTAGCCTGGTAGGGCGAAGCTTCGTCCATGACAGGCTATAGGGTGTTCGCTCATCTTGAGCCTTTCACTTTTTCAGCATGAATGGTCCTATTTCCTTTATCTATTCTCTGTGGGATGTGCTTTCTAAATCCAAACTCTCCTGCATAACCTTCTCTTGATTTTATTCTAGCATATTTTATCCTCTCTTAAATACGGGACATAGACTTGAAGGGGATGCTCCAGGGATGGTCCGGGCAGGAGGCAGGATGGAAGGAAAGGTACGTATATCTCGGCTCTTCACTCCTCGTCACATCTGAGAGATTAGACTTCACTGCTCTCAAGTCCTGACCTTGCAAAAACCTCTAATTTCTTGCCTTCTTCCTCTTCCTCAAGGGCTAAAGTTTCCACTGTGTGTACATTTTCCAAAGAAAATAGGGCAGACCCATTAGTATCTCTCAGGCCAAGGAGGTATTCTGCAGCTCTTGCCATTTAACTTTCGCAAGTGTGGAGGCAGGCCTATTGCAACAAGGGCTCTGAACTACTTCTGTTTTTCTAACCAAATGAAAGGTGAAAGATCTACTGAGGGAGGACTGAATTAAAATGGACATAGAATGGAATGGATGCGCCAGAACTCAAATATTTTTAAGTAGACTATCATGAAGTAACTTAGTCCAATAGTGAGCCAGGATAAAGGAGCTCGAGATAAAACATTTTCTATTTCAATAGGCACAGGGGTACAGCTGGATAGAAAGAATTACTTCTAATATTCTAAAGCACAGTAGGAAAAATATGTATAGCAACAATTGATTGAATATTACAAAATAGTATATATAGAACATTTTGAATGTTTCTAACATAGAGAAATGATGTACATCTAAAGTGATAGATATACCAGTTTCTGTGATCTGATCAATAGCACCATATTTGTGTGTCAAAATTTCATTTGATGCCCCATGCATATGTACAATTATTATGTGTCAATTACAAATAAAACAAATAAACCCTAATGCCTGCTTTGTTTATGATAGGAGAATGGACTGTAAAGGAATTATGCCTAGGACTATCTGTCTTTTTCTATTTGTCAACCATTGTTCTATCAACTGCATATAAATGTTGAACCATTATAAGATTATTTAAACCTAACCTCTCTCAAGGACATACCAAGGTAAGAGAAAAATGGAATATTCTCTAATTCTAAGATCCAATTTACTGATTCATAACCAATGGTAGCTTTATCCTCCCATGACTTCTAGGTGTTAAAGAAAGCCCAGCCAAATGCAAATATTTTAGTTGGACCATCAGAATACCCTAATGGGGCATGTAGAATTTCTGAAAGCATCACTGCCTTGTATACCACTTAGAACACTAGAGACTGAGGTCAGAATACTTGGTATCAGTCATCCCTCTTCCCAGTGTAAGTTTGTGAAATATACCCATCATCCCAGTTAATCAAGGCTGAGGTAGGAGAATTGCAAGTTGGATGCCAGTATGGCAATTTAGTAAGACCTTGTGTCCAAGTCAAGTAAACAAAGAGAAGTGGGTCTTGGGTATGTAGCTCAGTGGTAAAACATTTGCCTAGCTGGGTTCAGTGTTCAGTACCATCAAAAACAAAAGCTCAAAAAACAGCCTCCCCCATATCTCTGTTATACATGCCCTTGATTTTCTGCTTCTCTGAAGAATCAGTTATGTATGTGCTAATATGCTCTGTGGTTTGATGTGGACACTGCACTTGAGAAATAATGTGTGTGATGATGTATCAATGTCTAAATGTGACAGCTGCCATGCTTTCGTTCCAACTGACCTAGCATTCACTCCTTCCTGGGGAATGGGCAATTCATGCCAATTTTGCTCCTGAAGAAAAAGCCTGAGAGTGGAGTGAACCGTAAACATGCAGCATTAGTAATGAGATCGCACTGGTCTGACTGTCATCATCGCTGCCCTTGAGACCCAAGGATATGGCTGCAGCGAATTACATCAGGTTCACTGTCCTCATTGTGGAATCCAGCCTTCAACATGTTTAATTTTTCCTTGGTGATAAGTAGCTGTGTCAGTGCCTGAAGGCAAAACTAAATAAGTCATCTGATAGTTGTGGAAGGAAGTTGGCCCTCTCCTCCTGAGCACCAGATGGGACTGACTCCCAACATCCTACTGGACCAAATGTGCCACTGCTATGGCTTCTTGGGGCCCCGCCTCCTTAGGAAACCATTCATCAAACTGTGTGTTTACAATGTAAAGCCTCATTTTTCTAAAGTAGGACCTGAAGATGCTGTTCCCAAGAGGTGAGGGGCATTTTTCTCCTCTTATTAATGTTAGCGTTACATCTAATGCTTGTACCATGCAGCTTATTAGTGCGACATAGCTGACTCTGCAGAGAAGCATAAAATCAAGGGCAAATATAAAATAGATTTTTTGGGGGGTGGGTATTACTGAGGACTGAATCCAACACCTCACACATACGAGGCAGGTGTTCTATGATTGAGCTACCTCCTATCCCCACATCCTTTTAAATTTTATTTCAAAACCAGGTCTTGCTAAGCTCTTTACATATTATCAGTCACTTGACAAAATGAAATGTGTGGGGCTGGGGATTTAGCTCAGTGGCAAAGCACCTGCCTGGCAAGTGCAAGGTCATGAGTTTGATTCCTGGTACCAGAAAAAAAAAAAAAAAAAAACTGTAAGAAAATGAAATATATGGTTGCTCCACTCACTTTGTGCAATGCCCAACATAGTTTCCCTTATATGGAGAAATTTAATATATTCTATTGGAGGTAATAATACTTAGAATTGTTATTTTATCAATACATGTTTTCACATGTCAATCGTGGGAAAAGTTCTTCAGTATACTTTAGTATCTAAATTCAGTATAATTTAATATCTAAATTTAAAGGTAATAACAGTGACCTCCCAATTTTATTTCCTCATCCTGGTAAAAGGCCTGTGCCTGTCTTTTTTTTAAGAGAATATATTTTGTTTTAAAGATATATCACTGACAATTTCCCCAGAGAACAATCATGTATTTAATTTAATTCTCTCAGTCTGCCATTCTAGCTACTGCAGATAGTTTTGCTCTTTTATCCTCAGAAGATACCAGAATAGAACAGGTAGCTGAGATCTTGGGTGAATAACTGCTTTTACCTTTGAGATTAAATATTTCTCATAGTTTTCCAATGTCTCCTTTCAGTTCACTTTGAACCTTGTCAGTATGCTTGTGAGGCCCAAAGGGAAGCAGTGTCTGAGTAAGGCTGCCATAACAGACACACAGGCATTACCTCTGGTACTCTTGTGGAAAGACTGATGCTCTGCATTTCACAATGATACCATGACATCAATCCTTTAAAAACAGAATAACTTCATATCCTTCATAGTGTTAATGACTACTATTTATTGAGTATTTATTCTATACTGAAGATTGTATGAAGAACTTCTTATTCATGACTTTATTGTTTGATCTTTATGCTAGCTCTATATGTTATTTATTAATGGCAGGTATAAAGGGGAGGAACTAAATCTTAGTGAGGTCAAGCATAACTTTGTCCAAAGTTATGGTGATGGATCACAGGCCAAGCTAAGAACCAAACCTAGCCCAGCCAATTTTAAAATCTCTGCTTGGATCTTCTTTATTCTGCTATCATTATGTACTGTACTTTTACTTTGTGTGGGAGTTGCTTTCTAAGCTGTTGGTGGTGAATTTGGAGCATCTGTGGCAGGCTGTTTATCACTGAAAGCTCTAAAAGGTTTGCTATCACTTGTCTAAGTTACAGATGTTTTATTATATCATGAAGAAGTCTATAAGAACACTGCCTATATATGAAATTTTAATTTAAAAATTATCAGAATTCTATTACAGAACAAAATGAAATGCCAATGGACAAAAATTAAAATGTTGGCTGCTCCCTTTATAAAAAATTCCACCTGTTTCAAAAGAGATTGACCTATGAAATGGTTCTTAGAAGTAAGAGATAATTCAAAGAAAAATGTCTCATCATTTGGAAAACCAAACCAATGATCACAACAGCAGCAATAACAACAACAACAACAACAAACTGCCCACAGAAACACAAGCCACACAATAAAACAAACAAAAAAACCAAAATCAAACCAAGCTACCCACAAAACAACAAAGAATTAAAACTAAAAACTACTTGTGAAATAAAAAAAGAACCAAGAAACATCAGTGAAGTTATTTTCATGAATACTTATATCCCTAGCAGCTCAAAAATTTGCAATGTATTTTTAAACGTGGAATGTTTAAAAATTAACAATGGCATTTCCTGTTTGTAAGCATTTGTGCCAAAAGTCTGCTGACAGTCTGCTGTGTACTATGGAAAAAGGAATGAGTTGGATGCAGCTCTCCAGCCCCCTCTACTTACATCAGAGGTTCCAGAGACTTGGGCTTTATGAAGATGGCAATGGGATAAAGCTGGGCAACTTGTAACCGCTTGATAGCATTTCCCGAAACATCAAGTATACAGTGTTTGCCCTGGTAGGAAGAGAAGAGAAAGCTAGGATTAACTCTGAAAGAGTGGTCAAAAGGGTCTGTTTTATGTCAAATACCATGCTATTTTAGTTATCATGCCTCCTGTATGTCTGGAAATTAGGTGCTGTGATGCCTCCAGCTTGGCTGGTTTTGCTCAAGATTACTTTGGCTTTTTAGAGTCTTTTGTTGTTTCCATATGAATTTAAGTATTTTTTTCTACTTCTGTGCAGAATGTCATTGGAATTATGATGGGAATTGTATTGAATCTCTAGATTGCTTTGGGTAGTATGGATGTTTTATTTCTGCTAGTCCTTCAATTTCATCAGTGTTTTGTAATTCTCATAGGAGAGTTTCTTAATGGCTCAGTTAAATTTGTGCCTGTGTATTTTTTTTTTTTTTAATGTAGGTATTGCAAATAGGATTACTTTCATGACTTCATTCTCAGCAAATTCATTATAGGTGCATAAAAGTAGATTCTTATGTGTTGATTTTATATCCTGCTACTTTGCTAAATTTGTTTTTATAGTCTTTTGCTGGAGTCTTTATGTTTTTCTGTATATAAAATTATATCAGCTGCAACAGAAATAGTTTGACCTTTCCTTTTCTGATGTTTAATGCTTTTATTTCTTTTCCTTTTCTAATTCCTCAGTGTAAAACTTCAGGTACTACGTTGTATAAGAGCACAGAGAGAGTAGACACCTTTTTTTAAAATTCCTGATTTCAGAGGAATTGCCATCAGGTTTTCCCCCTTTCTGTGTGATAGTTGGCTATGAGTTTATCAAATCTATCCTTTATTATTTTGAGGCAGGATCCTTCTATAAAAGCAGCTTGGGATGAACAGTGAATGACTTTTTTGATGAGTGTTAAATTCAGTTTACTAGTTTCTCTTTGTTTGTTTTAGAAACAAGGTTTCACTACATTGATCTTTAACTTGAAAGGCTCAGGCAGAACTATCACTTGAGCCTATAAATAGCTGCAGGGTTACACATTACATTCAGCACACTTGCTGATAATTTTGTTGTGAATTTTTGCATCTGTGTTTGTCAGGGATTTTTTCTAATTTTCTTTTGTTGTGTCTTTCTCTGGTTTGGTAATGGTAAGAAATGCGGACCACATAGAGTAAATTTGAAAGGATTCCCTCCTTTCTAATTCTATTTTTTTTTTTTTTCTTTTTTTGGAGACAGGGTCTCACTATGCAGTTCAGGCTGGCCTTGAACTCACTATGCAGCCCAGGCTGGTCTCGAACTCATTGTGATCCTCCTGCCTCAGCCTCCCAAGTGCTGGGATCACAGGCGTGCACCACCATGCCCGGCTTCCTCCCTTCTAATTCTGTGGAATAGTTTGAGAAGGACTGACATTGATTCTTTAAAAGGTTGATAAATGCAGGAGTGAAGTCAAATGGGCCTGAGCTTTTCTTTGTTGGAAACTTTTACTGATTTAGAATCATTACTTGCTGATTCAGGGTTTTTATGTGCTCATGGTTCAATTGTGATAGGCCATGCATGTCTTGAAACTTGTCCATATCTTCTGAATTTTCCTATTTGTTAGCACATAGCTTTCATAATAATCTCTACTGATCCTTTGTAGTCCCATGTATCAGTTGAAATATTCCCTTTTCCTCTCTGATTTTCTGTCTTTGGGTCCTCTCTTTTTTCCCTGGTGAGCTTAGCCAAAGGTTTATCCTTTTCTTTTTTATCTTTTCAAAAACCCAAGTCTATGTAGGGCCTTTCATGTGTGTGTTTTAGTCTCTTTATCCAGAGACTCTTTATTTCTGCTCTGATTTTTATTTCTTTCCTTTTACCAGTTGGGGTTGGTTTATTCTTGCTTTTTAATTCTCTGAGATGCACAATTAGGTTATTTATTTGAATTTCTTGGGTTTCTTTTAAATGCAGGCACATATTGCTGTAAGTTTCCCTTGGTACTGCTTTTGTTGAATCCCATAAACTTGGATGTGTTGTGTTTCCACTTTCATTTGTTTTGATAATATTTTAAAATTTCCTCCTGACTTTTTCCATTCAAAAGGATGTTTTGTCTCCATGTATTTATTTAGCTTCTAAAATTTATTTTGTTGTTGACTTAGTTTTGTTCCATTGTAATCAGAGCAGACATAGGTTATGATTTCAATTGTTTTGAATTTGCTAAGACTTACATATGGTGTATTTTAGAGAAAGTTTCATGTGCTGACAAAAAGAATGTGTATACTGCAGCTAATGAATGGAATGTTCTGTAAATAGGAAGTCCTTTTGATTTACAGTATAGTTTAATTTTGTTTCTCTGTTGAATTTTGTGGGGGAGCCTGGATGATCTACCCACTGATGAGAGTGGTGGATCTAATTCTCCCTTTAGGTCTAATACTGTTTATTTTACAAAATTGGGTTCTCCAACTTTAGGTGCATATATATTTATAATCATCATATCTTCTTGTTGAATTGATCCCTTGGTCATCATTATAGTTAATTTTCTTTGTCTCTTTTCAGTTTTGTCTTGAAGTCTATTTTGTCAGGAATAAGCAAAGCTGCTCTTGCTTGCTTTATGTTTATGTGGGATATCATTTTTTATTTGTTCACTTTCAATCTGTGTGTGTATTCACTGGTGAAGTGAGTTTCTTATAGGCAGCATATTGATGGGGTTTTCTTTTAAAAAAAAAAAAGATTCAGCCAGGCTACATGTTTTAATTAGAGAATTTAATGTACTTATATTCAATGTTATTACTGGTAAGTAAGGACTTGTTTTTATTTTGTTGATTCTTCTCCTAGTTGTTTTGAATAATCTTTGTTCTTTTCTTCAACTTTTTTTGTTTGTTTGTTTTGAGACAGGGTCTCACTATGTAGTTCAGGCTGGCCTTGAACTTACTATGTAGCCCAGGCTGGCTTTGAACTCGTGCATTAGCCTCCTAAGTGTTGGGATTATAGGCAACCATGCCCGGCTCCATCTTTGTGCTCTGGCAGTTTGTATCTACTTTTCTGGTGTGATTTGTACAGTCATAGTGTTAGTGATGTTAAACTTCTGAATGTAAGAGTCCTTCAGTCATATTTTTTCAGGTTGGTCTGGTGTTCATTATTTCTCTCAGTTCCTCTTTTTAAAGGACGTTTTTTGTTTATTGCTACATTTTAGATATACATAATGATAACATTCATCATAGGGATTTGCACCTGTACATGATATCTTTCTGCTTCTTTTTTTCCCCATTCCTCTTCCCTTCTTTCACCCCCTCTTCCTCTGCTTATTTGCAAAACTTTGTTTCCATTTTTTCCCTTCTATTCTTTTTTTTTCTTGTCCCTTATTTCCTTTCCTCCTCCCCCTCTTTTTCCCCTTCTCATTTGAAAATCTTGTTCCCATTTCCCAATATCTATTATACATTTTGATCCTTATTTACACTTTCCATTTTTCACACCAGAGAAACAATGTGGTATTTAAACATGTGTGTCTGATTTATTTTACTTAAGAGTATGGTCTCTAGGTACATCCATTTAGATAGGAATGTCTTAAGTTTATCCGTCTTTATGGCAGAGTAGTATTTCATTGTTAAAAAGTCCCACATCTTTTTCATTCATTGATCAGTTGATGGGCATTTGGGCTGTTTCCATGATTTAGCTATTATATATGGTGCCACTATAAACATGGGTGTGCATATATATTACTGTGCAAATAGAATAGCTACCCCTATTGCTTGTCTGGGAAGGACTTTATTTCTCCTTCATTTCTGAGGGATATCTTTGCTAGGTGTAGCAGTCTTGGTGGCAGTTATTTTTGTTCAGAACTTGGAATATGCCATTCTACTCCCTCCATGACTGTCAGGTGTTTGCTGAAAATCTGTTGTTAGACTAATGAGATTGCTTTTAAGTGTGACTTGGCATTTTCCTATTGTAGATTTTAAAATTTTTCTCTGTCTTGTCTTTTCTATGGTTTCACTATAAATATACTGTGGTGAAGTTTTTTTTTTCTGGTTGTGTCTGTTTTAGGTTCTATAAGTTTCCTATACATATAGTTCTTGTATCTCTCCCAATATTGGAAAAGTTGTTACTATAATTCAGTTGAATAGGCATTTCATGCACTTAACTTTTTTCCCCTCTTCAGTTTTGCATACTATAAAAATGCAGATATTTGTAAATTTAATAGGTCCCATGGGTCTTGAATAGTCTCTTCATTCTTCTGCGTGGGATATTTCTTTTTTTTATTTTTATATTTTATATATATATATTTTTTGTCTTTTTTTCTGGTACCGGGAATCAAACTCATGACTTTGCGCTTGCCAGGCAGATACTGTGCCACTGAGCTAAATCTCTAGCCCCATGCCTGGGATATTTCAAAAGACTTGTCCTCAAGGTCAGACGTTCCTTCTTCTATTTGATCTATCTAGCTGTTGAGGCTTTCAACCATATTTTTTTATTTGACTTTTTGAGTTTTCAATTTCCAAAATTTACTTTTTTCTCTGCTTTTTCAGGGTTTCTCATTTATATGCTGCATTTTCTCTGTTTCATTTAACTGTTTATCTGTATTCTCTTAGATCACATTGAATTTTTTAATACTTGTTCTTTTACATTATTAGGCATTATATCCATATCCAATTGTTGCTAAAGATTTACTGTGATCCAAAAGGAAGTATCGTGTTATCTTGAACTTTTCTGTCTATTCTTCCACACTGAGATTTGTTTATCTGATCAAGCAGGTATCTCTGCCACCTTTCTGAGGTGGCATTTGTAGTAAGCTTTCTCCTGTGGAGTGTTTCACAGTACTGGTTTACTGATCATGTTGGCTTTGCTTCCAGTTGGACACCATCATGTAGTCTTCTATAGCTGTGGTTATTGACTTCAGCCCTGGTAGCAACAGCAGTGGTGAGGAGCCACAAATACTTTTCCTCTGACCAATGAATGGTGAGGCCAAAGATACTGTATTGGGAGAGGTGTTGGTGGGAACCATAGCACCCCGTCTGTGGCTCTGACAGGCAGTCTAGATAGCAGGGTGTTTTCAGACAAGGTGCAGTGGCAGGAACTAGCAGGAGCTGTATGTGTGGAGTAGCACAAGGATCGGTGGTATTCCTTTCTTCGGCTTCAGTGATTGTGACTTCCTGGGAGTAGAACCATAGTTGTGCAGGTCTAGGTGTGGGGTAACAGTGGTGGCTTTTTTCCTCCAACTCCTTAAATTTTAATTTCTGCTGAAGAGCAAGCAGGAGTGAGATTTGAATGAAGCTGGGCAGTTTCTCTTGTCACCTATCCCAACCTTGTATGGTGACAGTTGGTGCAGTGGAGTTGCTCAAGGCTTCAGCACACGCCTGTGGCCAGGGAAGTTGCAAGAACCGTGGTGTTCTTTTCCTGCTCTGCCAGTAGTAGGGACCTGAGTGTGTTATAGGGCTGAAGGATAGCTGGAACAACTCTGGTGATTGCCATCAGCCCTAGAACTAGCCATACCTCTGGTGTCAGAGGGGAGGCTCCCCATCTCTTGATTTCATGAAGGCAACACCTGTCACCTGCACTTGGGATACCCACTGGACTTGAGTCAGAGTTACTCTGCTGGGCTCTTGGGTTCACAGGCAGGTACTGCCTGAATCAACACAGTAGGACATCTGTGGGATCAGAGATGGGAATACAAGGGTTTCTGATCTAGAGCAGTCTAATTTTAGACAAAGGCCCATTTCTCAGGATGGTTCCTGGCCATAGCATCCTGGTTGTTCATTGGGAGAGTATGAGAAATCCTCTTCTAAAGGAAGGCTACTGCGCAGCCTTCAGGTTATTTATCTAAGTAGACTGGAATCCCATGAGGACTGTGCCATCTTCCAGTAGCTGGCACTGAAACATCAGCCCTGATAAAGTTTGCTGTAAGTCTTTTTCATTTTTACTCTTTCAAAGGCAAAACTCCACTGCCTCAGAAGAGCTGGGGTTGCAGTTTTCAGGGTTTTTGTTTTTCTTTCTGTGCTGTTGTCTGAGGTCTCTGAATCTCACAAAGTTCCATTCTCTCTCTCTTGCTGATTTCTAATTAGCTCCTTCCATCATTCACCTCAAGATGTAGCTTTTTACTTATTACTTTTGTTCTTCTTTTTAGAGAAAGAGGTGAGTTCTGGGCTGTCCTCTTCAGCCATCTTTTCCTTTCAGCAAAATTTATTTTTAAATCTCTTATCAGTCAATCATATGGGGGAAAGGGTGATATGAAATCAAATAAACCAGATAAACGATTTCTCCTATGAAAGTGTCGTCATACGTTTATTGGAGATTAGATCTCCCTGCAGGCAGATTTTAAAGCCACAGTCATGTTCCTTCCTGTTCTATCCTCTCTCAGACTCCACTTTCCCATTCCTCGGGAACTGTCAGGAAGAAGGGAAATGCAGTGACAACACCTCTTCAACATTGGAACTTCTGGCAGCTACAGGGTCAACTCTGTCCCCCTCTACCATAATGGTGGTATGTTTTCAAAGAGAAAAAGTAACTCCTTCTAGCCCAGCCTTCTGGACAACCAAGAGTAACAAAACTTCCTTCATGTATTCAATTTTATTTGCTGTGCTCTCAGATAGTGAGTCAAGGTCAAAGTGAATCCCCGGAAACTTCAGACTGTTAACTGCCTTTAAGGTTATAGGTCCCCTTCTTCCTCCCTTTTTCAGGGCAGTTAGAATACTTTAGTGAGATTAGAATAAAGATTAATGATACTGCTCTAGAAGGATTTTCTGCTTGGGTATCTTAAAAAGATATGTAATCAAAACTTACAACTGTATCAGGAAAGAGCAATGACCAAAACAACATGGTTTGCCACCCAGAAAGCTTCTTCAGGGGGAGTGGAAACAACACTGGCAAACATACCCTTTCTGCTACAAATCGCACAGACTGCACGCTGGTTCCATATAAGTTGTCATTGTACTGGCCGGCTTCTATGAATTTGTGCTCTTGAATGTCTTTCTCCATCTGTTCTCTGGAAATGACAAAGTGATAGTCTCTTCCATCCACTTCATAATCACGCTTTGGCCTCGTAGTATCTTCAGAAAACAAGAAAGGATAAAGTTAAGATGTACGTGTATTCATAAACTTCCCTCCCACCTATTTTCTCTGTCACCCTCAACACAGATACATAGATATATGTGCTAAGATGTATGTAACAGAGTGACAGGTATCAATCTTACCTTTCTGCCATAAATAACTGTAAAACTGGACAGAATGTATGGAACAACTATTTTCAGGTATTAGACAACAGAAAGTGGCAGAGCTATAATTTTAAGGGGAGAGAAATACATGAGGGAAACTTTGCCTTCATCCTACCTCTGCCTAGGAGCCATTTTTAAGTGGTGAGTCTGGAGTCAGGGTTAGGGGACTGTGTGAAGTTTAGCCAGAACTGGGCATTTGGTTAAAACCCCAGAAAATCTACACTTTTGAAGGCTATTTAGCTGGGTGTGCTGGTACACTCCTGTACTCCCAGCACTTGGATCACCAGAAGCTGCAGGCAGGCCTGAATTACAAGGCAAGACTTGTCTCAAAACCAAACCAAACCAAACCCACACACAAATGTGGGAAGCTACTCTAGATCCACCTTTACAATGTCTAAACCAAACTGCAATTGGAACAAGCTGATCTGTCATTAATTTACTGCTTGCCATAACAAAATTGTTTTATAAAGGAAGATAACAAAATCCAGACTCTTAGCAGCACTGCACCATGATATCCAGCACACAGTAAGAGTCTAACACAAAGAAAGAAGTAAGAAAATATGTCCCACAAGGAGGAGGAAATAATGGGCATACAGTTATAAATATACTCAGAGCTTTAAAAACATCCATAATAAAAAATCATAGCTAAGATAGCACTGAAAGTCAGCAAATTTAACCATTTTGCTTATATGTTCTGGTAAAAAGAGAAAGGGAAAACAATCTGGCTGTATGACTTTAAAAAGTTGAAGTATTTCCAAACTAAGTGTGGTGGTGCACAGCTGTAATCCCAGAACCCTGAGAGGCCAAGCGGGGGGGGGGGGGAATCCCAAGTTTAAAATCTGCCTGGGCAACTTAGTGAGACCCTGTCTCAAAAAATATAAAAAGGGCTGAGGATGAGGGGATGTAGCTGAGTGCAAAGGCCCTGGGTTCAAACCCAAGTACTGCCCCCCTACCTTATTAAAATATTTTCAAGCTTGACTCTGTTATTTCCTAAGACTATCTTTTAAAATGATTAAGCTAGGGATGGTAGCAGACACTTGTAATCCCAGTGATTCAGAAAGCTGAGGGAGAAGGTTGCAAATTTGAGTCCAGCTATATAATTCAGGGAAACATTATCTCAAAATAAAATAATACAAGGACTGGAGATGTAGGTCAGTGGCTTGCCCACTATGTACAAGGCCCTAGGCTCAATTCCCAGCACCACCAAAAAGAAAGAAAAAGATCAAAATTTCAGATGATGTTTTATCCTTAAAAAGCTTAAAAAATGTAGAGAGAGAAGTAGTTGTTAGGATCAAATTTGAGAGACTCCTTATTTAACCACTTGAGATTTCCTTGTGGCTTGTCTACATGTGTGGGAGGTTTCTGTGGATGCGGGGGAGTGGAGAGGTATGGTAGTGGTGGGAAGTGGGAGAGGTAAAGCAGACAGCATCTTACAGCACCAGTGGGCCCAGGAGACCAGAGCATTGTCTATAGTAATAAAGCAGATTAAAGTGTGTAGTGGTCTAGAGGGTTACAATATAGATTTTATACCTTCTTGTCCTTATCTTTCTAAGATCTGGGACCATGAAAGCACATGGGAAAGGCTATTTTGTTTTGGGATTGATAAACTGTCCTGTGTCAACATGAGATGGTTTTAATATATGATTTTGTTTCTGACTGTCATGATTCTGTGGGAAAAGATGCTACAAATGTTACTTGAACCTACTGTTACGGTTTGTGTCTGGATGTCCTCCCAAATCCTCATGCAGTCATGGAGTGTGCTTCTAGAGTTTATGATTGATTCATGGTCCAATGCTGGGATTATGGGTGTGAGTGCTACACCCACCCTGGGGTGGGTAGTTTGCATACAATGTAAGGAAGGGAAAGAGGCTGCTTGACCCGCTCCTTCCCTTGTGCTTTTGTTGCTTTTGCTGTTTTCTGCCGCCATGAACTGTTGCCTTATGTCATGTGCCACTCTGCCTTGCAGCCAGCCAAGTGTGGATTGAAACCTCCACAAACTGTAAGTTAAATAAACCTTTCCTTCCTTAATTCTGGGCATCAGGTATTTTGCGTCAGCAACAAGAGAAAAGTAACCAAGACACCTATCCAAAAGAACATGGGATGCCTATCATAAACACATGCTGTTTTGAATGCTAAGGGATTTACGATGATCCTTCCTGCTTTCTAGTGGACAATAGTCAGTTTAGAAAGAACATTATTGTACTTGGCAGCATAGAAGAAAAGTGTTAGGCACAGAAATTAAGTAAGGTGCTCAGATAGTAAGTAACTGATTCTGTTTGAATCACCAGAGAGACTACTAGAGAGACAGAAATACACCGACTCATAAAGATACAAAAATTGTCCTGGAAAAAAAAAAAAAAGATACTTACGAGGCACACATGAGCCAAATTTATCAGGAAATTCAGATATCAAATCATCATTGATTCGATCCTTCATGGGGCCCAGGATAATCACTGGCCGGGTATAGTTTACTGCAGATAGGGAAAGGAAGATGCAGGTGAGGAGAAAGAATTGGAAATGACAGCAAGGGTGGTTCTTAGGTGAAATTGCCAAACAGAACTGTGAAGGTTATAACTCTGGCTAAACTACCCACATAGGGAACTGTATGTTTAACCCTGAGGATGTTACTGTGCCTATTATCTGGAATTTACTAAAAAGGAAAAGCAACTGCAGCATCTGTCAAAGAAGAACCATTTGGAGGAGTTTTGCTTATTCTCAGGTTATGCCTACACAATGTCAAAACAACTGAATTTAGTCAATAAAGAGGGAGAAAAAACCAGCTATTTGGCCATTGTTTAAAAGTAATTGTTAGTAGTAATGACACCTTATGTTTTTATAATTTATTTTCCTCAACTCTAAATACTCTCTGTACTCTGCCAGGGTTTCCCCAATTCCTTTGTGGCAGATAGTAGAAAGTCCACTTGGTACATGTCCCCATTTGATTCTTGAATTTTCTCAGAGACATCCCTGGTCAACAGCCATGAGGCTGTGTATAAATGCCTCTGGAAACAAGGAAGCCAGGCTCCTGGAGCAGCCTGCAGTTGGCCTGGATCTTAGGTCTACAAGAAAGTCTTCCTCACTACTGAGCTGACTTCAGCTTTACAGGATTTATCCCGCAGTCCTCTTGATGGGGCTCCAGTGATTTGGATGTGCTCCTTCCTACTGAGGCAGCTCATCTGAAGGGCTGCTCCACCCTCTAGGGAGCTGCTGTTGGTGTGCTCAGCTGGGAAGCTGTTTGCACGGTGGTAGGGCCAAGGAGAGAGATAGCAGCCTATAGTCTGGGGACTACTGAGTATTGAGCTGAGTTTATTTTGCTTAGTCCTTTGCTCTTTCCCTTCTTCAACTATGTCACCTGCTATGGCCTGGAAATCAGGAACCCAGGCATGCTGAGAAACTTACTTTCCTGCCTTGTGACAGGCTCGTAGGAAAGAATGAGGTCTTCTTGCCCCCCTGAAAAGAGAAGAAAGGAAAATTATGTCAACTAACAATCAGTGATCCCCTAAAGCTACAATCCCTGCTCTGAAACATAGGAAACAGTTCAGAGTTAAATTTTCTTGCTCTCTCCTTGAACCATTCAAAAATTCCTTCAATCTCAGAACTACATTGCATCGTTATTTCCATACCAGGAGCCATAACTCTGAGTAGGAAATGGCTGCTAGCTACCTGCCGCAGAGCAATGATCTGCGAGACTACTTCTGTCTGATGTTAGAAGTGGAGTGCCATGCTGGTACCACCTACAGTGAAGCCAGACAGTTCAAGGAAAGGGCCCATGCAATGGTTTGTTGCTACCTAATCAGAACATCTGTTCTTTTATTTTATCTATTTTATTTCCCTATAAAGCACATTGCTCAAAAGCAAATGTCTGTATTTTCCAGGATTTTAACAAGGGATAATAAGGGTTTTACTCTAATAACATTAAGTCAATGGATCAATTAAAGAAGATTAAATTGAGAGGAAGGACAGAGGGTAGCTCAGTGGCAGAGAGTGTGCATAGCATGTGTGAAGCCCTAAGTTCCATTCTCTGCATTAGAAAAACACCAATATGTCATTGGTTATAATTGCTGCTAACTCATGCCTTGAAACGTCAGAAAGAGAACTAAGAAAGAAAATGTAGTAAAGTGTCAGCCCCTCCAATGCTGTTTGCTGCACACTTTCTGACTCAGTGTGGCCCTCAAGTCAACAAAAAATGTGGAAAGTAATTTCATCTTTAGAAATGATGTTTTCAGTCATCTGTTTTATCCAGTTGACTAACTGGTCATGGGATCAGCCCAGTTGAGCTTCCGACACTGAAAGCCAAACTCTGATATTTATAGTAGACCTAGTCCTAACTTGTGTGGGAAACTAGTTAGGACTGTTAAAAATGTGAGACTTCATGTCTACTACAGGAGATAGCAGAGGAGAAATGGAACCTAAGGTACAGTCTTTTCTGAAGCCAAAGGATGATTAATCTCATTGCTTTAACCACTTAAAAATAGTCCAATTATTTAAATTTGGGATGACCAAAAATTGCATATTTTTGTTCATTTTTATAACAGAATATATATTATTATGATAATTTTATCAAGTTTATTCAGTACAAAAATCCACTAGTTGAAATGACACCTGCCCGAGTGATTCTTGGAATAGTCAGTGCATAAACAACTACACTACCCAAATGATGGTAAACTGTTAAGTGGTTAAATACTCAGTACCCTGAGACATGTTCATTCAGTCTGCCAATGCCAGGGTACCCTCTGTAGCCCCAGCACCAGGGAAAAGTGAGTAAATTTCATAGAAGGAAGTAATATATATAGTTTTGGTAAGAGCAACTGATTTGAGGAAGTTAAACCATATATGGGTAAACTTGTAGAGTACAATGTCTTTCTTGGAGTGTTGGTAGCAGGCATAGGGTGGGTGGGCTTTTCTGTAAGTGTGAGAAGTGGCCACAGGCTTAAGCCACATCTTATATCTATTGTGAGATGGGCTTGCTTTCAGAATGGCTCTGCTAGGCCACACTACATCCCAAAGACACAGAGAATGGGTTTTAATGCTCCTCTTAACTGGCACCTATCCATGGTTGCTCCAGAAGGGTCAGCTTCACATTTTTTTTTTTTAAATGTAGGAAAAGAATGTTTCCCTTTGAGTATAGTACTAAAATTTGCAGTCTAGGCCACAAAAAGTGATTGACTGCTAACATCTGATACAGACAGAGGTCTTAAGCATTCAAAAGATGAGTATAAAATTTATTGGGAAAATATAATTTTAGAGATAGAAGCATAGGAGACTAATATTGCAATGGTAGACTGTAACTTTACAGGGAGATCCTCATGTAACAGTTTATATATGAGGGGAAGTCCTGATCATGGGATAACAAAAACTTCAAATATCAGGAGATGTCTGAGTCTGCCCATTTTTTGGGAGATCTATAAAGGCAAAGACTGGCTTTCATCCATCTCTGTTCCCAGTGCCTGACTGAGTGCTTGATGTAAAGAAAGAGCTCAGGAAAATTGCATTGAGTTCAATTGTAAAGACAGGATGAATAATGTGGTCAAAGATAGGTTCTGCTTTGTGTTTCTGTCAACATGGTCATTTCACTTTGGTAAATACGGTTTTCTCTAATAAATATATATATCATGCTTCATATGAATCGCTTTCTAGTAGCCTTATAGATCATTTTCATGGGACATTCAAAAGGCACAGCTTAAATAAGATGTTTGATGTCAGTATGTATAACTTGTGATTCTGAAAACCAATGTAAAACATAGTTACTTTTGTTAGAGAATTCTATAGTTCTTTGTTTATCCTTTTTTTTTTGTTTTGGTTTGTTTCTGTAACTTGAAAAGGAACTGGGTTTTGTTCAAAGCATCAGGACTGGCAGGGAGTAAAGGTCACAACTTTTTTATGTCAAAGCACATCCAGTCCTCAAGGCACTGTGAAAACTGGGTACTGTGTAGCACCTAGGAACCTGGAGGGAAGCTGGGGAGGTTGGCATCTCCTATCAGCTGTGAATTCGGCACCTTAAGCTGATTTTCACTCTCAGGTTTAAGAATGAAAAGCTCTTTGAGTAGCTGAAAGGAAATCAAGGGCGGGGGGAAGTTTACTATAATGAAGGAAAGAAAATCACGTCACTGTGGCACTTCACGGGTGCCGAGGGACTTTTACATTCTCTGGCTTCTACTTTTCATAGACATTTTGAGATAACAGGAATGCTAATGGACCCCCATTTTATAGACAGAGAAGCTGAGGTTAAGAATTGTTCGTGAGCCCTGTTTCCTCAGCTAGTAAATAGTAGAGTCCACATTTAAAATTACATTTTCAAAATTCTCTCAAATGTATCTCAAGAGGGGGAGAGATGTAAAATTCTGGGAGGGGTGGAGTAGGACCTCAGAAAATGTGAGCAGAAACCAGGCCAGAGTCATCGAGTGGCCCTACAGTCCCATCTGTAAACACCAGCTCTTTTTAATTTTTTAATGCTTCTGTGTCATCTCCATAAACTAGTCATCCTTAGTAGTTTTTCTATTTTTTCCTCAGAAGAAGTTGGCACTCAGAAATAACAGCTGGGAAAAAGGTACAAAGTATTTTTTGGTCTTGTTTTGGCAACCACATAGTTGGAAGTGGGTGAGCGGCAGAGCTGTGTGTGGCCGTTTGCAGCTGCCAGAGACTTGGCAGAGGATTCTGTGACAGTCTCCACGAAACAGTTTGTGTGCAAACTAGGAACAAAGCCACAGTGACACATACCCAGAACAGGGCCCTAGTAGGCCTTCAGGAGTGAGGAAAGAGTTTCCGTTCTTTAGGAATTCTTGGAAATAGACAGAGGAGGGTAGTGAAAACCAGTGGTGGTGCAAATGTTCTAAGTTTAGTTTTGCCTGCCCGTCTGCATATGATGGCTATTAAGAATAAGTTAGGTTGTTAGAGCCACGCAGTGTTAGTACTAAACGAGGGCTTGGAGTTCCAGTGCTTCGGAGGTGACAAGTATGTAGTAGCATGTGTTGGTCTGCCACCTACTCTGTGCCTGTGACAGTCATCACGAACTGATCACTGCCCCATTGCTGCTGAGACTTGACAAGCCCTAGGAATACTTTCCCATATAGTTATTTAGACAGCTATTACAACTGGTCAGAGTTGAAATCTGTTTTCTGTCTTAGTTCTAATCCAAGGTGCTTGGTTTACATAAGGGAGACCTGAGATTTTTGGGTAATTTTTTCAAGGATTCCATAGGATGTCAGGAAGATTAAATGACTTAATAAACTCTTACACTCAAACTTAGTATGTAGTTCATAGTATATAAAACCTGACTGTAGTAATTTGCTGGGTAGTATGGAATGGTTAAAATATACTAGATAAACATCAAAGAGGTTTGGATTACAAATGGTAGGAAAGAGTGAAAAGTACATGAAATCCAGACTTAAAAGCTTTTGCTTGGAATTACAGTGGTACCATTTATTGGTGAGGTAGCCTCTTGGAGCTGTGAGTTCCTCCTATAGAAAATGGGCTACTAGTAGATTTACTGTAGAAATGAAATGAGAGAGTAAATGTAACAAAGAATATGGTAACACTTGACAAGAGTGCAAAGGAGAGGAATACTGGGAGAAGTCTTGGTTCTGATCTCAATGTTGTTTTCATTTGGGTCATTTCCTCAAGATCCTTATTTTGAAAATTCTACTAAGCAATAGTCACCAATGGGCTTTAAATATAATGTGTGAAGAGCATTACTGAAAGTCAGCAAGGCACATCTTTAGCTGTGAAGGTTTGCTTGATCCCCACTTTATACCTGCTTAGTAATTATCATCCCTCAGTATAAGGGTAATTGAAAGCTATGATACAGAATGGTCAAAAATACAAGCTGTACCTTACTATCTCATTGACAGATAAAATTCTGGTATTGGCTAATCATTCAGATAGTTTTGGGGTGGTATTTTGTATAACTGGACAATGTGAATTGTAATTTAACTGCAATTTAGTTGCTACTCAATACAGTTGGGCTTGGGAAAATAATTCTATAGGGCTTAGATCATGTAGCAGATGTCTGAACTCTACTAGAAATTAATGTCACTGGTCTACATAAAGCCCAACAAATAAGTTATAGTTTTCCTCGTACCAAAGTGAGAATAGCTCAGGAGTCATAAAGACAAGCTTTGGTCACTTATTCTTACCCTGGATTCTTGGCTTAAAGTCATATGGAGTGGGAGAGGTTAATTTTTTCCCATGAAGTTGAGTTAATCATAACATTTTAAGGAAGAATGTAATAATGTTAATAAACCATGTTGAGAATAATCCTTCTTTCCATCAATAAGATTTGATGAAATTCTTTCAATATAAGACTTCTATTGATTGAAAATTGGGTGACATTACCATGTTGTTGTTTCACTCTTTGATCTGTCTTGTCCTCTTCTGGCCTCTATCTTTACCTGCCTTCTTTTTTCCCTTGTGCTGTTTTTTCTTCACTGCTACTAATCTGACTTCCCAAAACTTTTCTTTCTTTTCTTTTTTTTTTTTTTTTTGATTTTTCTCCGGTACCAGGAACCGAACTCACGACCTTGCGCCCAAAACTTTTCATCAAATCTAATTACTTTTACTCTACTCCAAGAACACTGTTTGGCACTCCACCTCAGAAAGCATGGTTTTGTAAAGTATTATGCTATCATGGGAAAAATACCCATTTTAGTACCATTTTGCTTTTCAATTAGTACAATATTCATTCAGGCAAAGGTGATATCAATTTCGCCTTGGTAGCTGCTGATCATGTATTGGACTTGCAGTTTTCTACCACACTTGGCAGTTTCTTTTTGGGTAACCCACTTCACTAAGTAGTACAAGTTAATATCATAGAACTCATAACAATTCTAATGATCATAGATACCAATATTAGTCACCAAAACCAGTAAGAAGGTGGTAAGAAACCACGAGAGCTGATCAAAAGGATGTGCTTGGTGTTTGGTGAATATTTCCATACAACAAGCAAATGGCTTGAGGTAAACAAAGAAACACAGGAACGAATTTTTAATAGTTACCTACCTTTTCCGTTAAGTTTTCTGACCTAACAAGTTTAGTTAATTTTTTCAAAGAAAAGGGCATGGAGAAAGGAGGAGTTCCTTCATCATTAGAGGAAGAAATTTTTTATATCAGTTTCCCCTCCCTCCCCCCAAATAAAATCAGACAGGTAGATTTATATCTACCTTAAAATATGGAACACTGTAGTTTATATAGCTTTTTCTTGTAAATGGGAACCAGGAACAGAAGGAAAAAGGTGAAATGAGAAGGAAAATAAAATCATGATGAAGTTTGCACCCTCCTGCAGGGAGTCTGGGGAGGCAGAATGTCAAAATCCACTATGCTGAACTTCTGTATCTTTCTTAGGAGAATTGAATCACCGGGTCACAACCAGCTGAGGTTGGAACTGTATAGTAAACTGACTGCTACTACTTGAACAAATCACATAAGGGTCTACTGATGGCCCTAGTGACTTTTGCATCTTTTGACATCAAATGCTGATTTCATTTCAAGCCATTTGCTTTGGATAACAATGATAAGAGCAGCAATTGAAAAACAACAACAAAAATCTGAAATGACCACCACAGGCAATGGGGCAATTGCAAAGAAAAGAACAGCAAACCAAAGCAATAACTTACGGTAGCTACTTTCGCTATCGCTGGCATTAGAAGAAACATGTTCTGCAAGAACAGCACAGCAAATTAAAGAGATACCAAGCATTGGAAAGCAGCCCAAACGGAAAGAGTACACTCATGCAAGGCTACCGGAAATGTGAGCGAAAGGCAAGTAAAAGGCAGCAGAAAAGATTGCATTAAGAAAATTTGGATAAGGTAAAGAAGATGAAAACTTTATCACCATTTCTGCAGGACCTTGCTTGGTTGATTGTCTTTTTTCCTTTTAGCAAATAATGCAAGTACTGTATTTAATAAAACAAAATCAATCCAGGAATTTTTTTTTATAAATACTATGACCTGTTCTTTTAGTTCTGATTTTTCAGATTCGTCTCACAAAGGCCAGTGTGTCATAACTGTTTTTTAACAATAAATCGAGGAGGTTCTGGTTGGCAGGGACTGTTTTCTTGCAGGTTTTTCTGCTTCTCCATTTTACCTTTAATTATTTTGAGGGAATACTGATTGACCCCTGGAATCCTTTTAGTTTTATTTCTGTTTAAATTCCATGTAAAACTAATTCTCAGGTTGAAAGGGGATTCTTAAAGATATTTCCTGCTTCAGTGAGTGAGCAGGGAATCTTGGAGGAAGAAATGTTTCAAGAATTATGTTTTTCTATTAAGATCCTTGCTTGGATAGCAATCAGATCTCAGGGGGAAGGGACAGGCAGAGGATAAATGGTCTGATCACCAGCACAGGTTCTGGGAAGTAGGAGGTTTTCGATTCATTCTGAATGATTTACCTCTAGGTAACATTCCTGATTGTTTTTTTCATCCAAACACAACTCAGCCTAATATAACAATGATGTGTGCATTGGTTGTATGCTAGAATTCGAGCTTTAGTTTCCAAAGTCATTTTATTTCATCTCTACTATGCATTAATTATTAGATTATCAATTCCTTAGCTTATTTATATATCACTTTCGTGAAACCAAGTGTGTGACTATTTGATTTCTGAATCTTATAGTCAATAACTTCATTTTCTTTTTTAAGAGCAGAATATATTTATTGAGGGAAAGAAAAGAAAGCTTTTGTCCAAGAGAGGGACAGAAGTGGGGCCTGAGTGGGTTACTCAGTTTTTCAAAATGCTATTGCTTATCTTGTTGAAAGAATACAGCACTATTCTCTAACAGTATGAAGTGCTTTCAAATGCTTTGATAGCATAATTCTTACCAGCTCAGTGAGTTACTTTTGGAGCACAAAACTGATAAAAACTAAAGCATGAGTTAAATTCATACAAATCATTACTCTTTGTGTTGGTCTATGAATAGAGCTGTACTACAAATTTGGTCACAAATTTCACAGATGAAGAGGGATCCTAAGAAAAGAAATAAAGGAATGCAGATGAATCTGTGTAAGCCTGCACTCTATCACTGAAAGTACAGTCAAGGCATACAGTCAACAATATTGTGCCATCATGTACATTATCATCTTAGGTTTTTTGAGTTAGGGATGACATCATTTTTTGTTTTTATTTTATTCATTAATCTCTTCAGTTTTTTAAAAGTAAGTAAATGTTCATGTTCTGGATTTAAAAGGGTATCACTCCTATTTTTGACATTATAATAGCATATTCTTTATACTGATGTTTATTATTAAAAAAATATTGAAAAGCCTCTTTACAAATCCTCTCTGATGATGCTTCATGCTATGCCAGTAATGTTGACATTGGTATTTGAAGTCCAGCCACTGGTTCAAAACAAATTTGACCCAAAGATAAAGTTTTCATCTTTAAGGAGATCAGAGACCAGTACTCTTGATCAGATTTTGTTTTCTATATATGCATAGTTTTAAAAAAGCCACTCCAAATCAGTAACTTGAATTATGAAAGGTGTCATTATACAAGCTTATATAAACAGCCTTTGAAAACTAAGTCCAGTTCAATGCTATGTTTTATAAAATGAACAGCTTCTAAAAATATCGTCCATATCTGTTAAAATAAAACAAAGTTGAACAATGTGATACAATTGCAAAAGACACAAAATTCTGTTCTTATTTCACTGGTACCTACACAATGAGGTTAGTATTAAAGAAAGAAAAATTACAGGATAGTTAATTTAAATTGCTCAGTCAGTGCAATGAGACACAGACCAAAGACATGAATAACTAGAAATTATAAAGGTCTAATGTATCTGTTTCATTCTGTACTCCAAAATGAAGACTTCATTACATAATGCAGCTACATAGTCACTGATAGAAAGATGATATTAATAAATATCTAAAACTAATATACAAACATTTCAAGCAGGATCACTGCAAGTCAGAGAAAGTCAATCAAAGTTAATAACAATTATTCATGGAAGATCAAATAGATTATTTACTTTTTGAGAGTGCATGTTCCTTTTGATTACAAAATAGCTCCTTTACTGATAGCAGAATACAACTTAATTATAGAATTTGGCAAGGTCATTAAATATTTTCATGTGAAAAGGCAGAGGAAAGCACATCAAAGATATTTCTACTTTGCAGTTCTGGAACACTTAGCTCGCCCTTTCTTTCAGCATGGTTCCTTGCTCACTGGGAGGAATTAGGCAGCAGAGCAAGTGATGCTGTGGTGGGCATCAGGACCATGCTGGCGTGTCACATGGTCAGAAAGGGAAAGTGTTAACCGCAACAGAAGTTAGAGTGCCTGACACACTTTGCTTTTCAATGCTGACATGCAGAACAAAACAATTGAAAATTATTTTGTAGGAGCATTCACAGCTAGGTAACAAATAAAACTCGTATCTTGTGCATGCTAGGAGTGAAAGGCCCTCGAGAAAAGGAACAAAAGCCAAACTCAAAAGGAAAGGAAAAGAAAAGGAAAGTTACAGTGACCATTCCTGGAAACTTACTCAGAGTCTTTGTTCCATAACCGTCGTCACCTAATCCGGGGATGTCCTGCATGGAAGTCCCCAGAGAGAGCAATGAGAGAGGAAGAACAGCCACGGAAGAGGAAGGAGAGGTCAGTGGAGTTGAAATGGATACTACCATGACAGACCGTGTTGCCTGCACAATCTGGATCCCGCTGTCTCTTCTTTTGAAACAACTTTTACCCCAAACTCTCTAGATTGAGACTTAAGGAAGTCTTGATTTGGAAAGCAATTTGAAAGGTGACTGTAAAACAAAAATAAGTAAGAAAGATGCGGCAAATGCCATTTTTGCCATCACTATCGTCACATAAAGGTCCTACTTAAAGGAATGATCTCTTCCAAATTTTGGAACTTAGTATCCACCAATACAGGCTCCCTGCTGAGCAAGTGCTTAGCGTTTGTTGGGAGGGAAAGAGGGAGCCAGTGTGCCAGTAATCATTCAAAGTAATTTAATTGCTCCAGTTAGCCAGCATTCCAAAAAGTATACATTTGGCGATGGAATCCAGTATTTCTGCTCAGCCGAGAAATTTGTGTCAAGCCATAGAGAGCTGTGTGAGAGAAAAGGCAAACCAGACCCATTTCCAGTCACAGATAAGTACTGACTGGCAGCAGAGCCCCAGCCTGGGCAACTCCCTCTCCAATGCATCCTGCAAAGAAGAGTCACACGAAGGGAAGGATCCAGACTGTGGACAAGCACTGGTCACAGTAGTAAGACCTGTCCTGCCTGCCTACTGTATTATTACTATTATCATTTTTGCCTAGGTGTGTGGCGTGGGAGAGCCTATATCATGCGTGAAGAATTTTTTTCTCTTGTGTTGCATGTGACATTATCTCCGAGAATCTACTTACGTTCAGGATCACTGGTTTCCTGCTCACTCTGCTCCTTGTTCTTGTAGAATGGGAATTTTCGTGAAAAGATGAAGCTCTTTTTACGCTTGTCATTGAATGACTGTGAAGGAGAAAAGGCATGGGGCAAAAACAGGGGACGTCTAATTGTTGTCACACTCATGCTGACAGAACAACTAGCTTGTAAAAGCAGAGAGAGCTGCAGAGACGCAAGTGGATGTGCTACGGAGGTGCCATAGGCTTCTAAAGGCAGGATTGGTTTTCAAAGAGTCAATTCTGAATGGTGACACCTTGGGAAAATGGTCTCATAATCAAAAGACTGCTCATAGATAAATAGTGATGGAGGGAGAAAGTCTTAAATTAGAAGACCCAGAGTCTTCGTGTTGGGTCTACATCTCGCTAGTTTATCACCTTTGACGAGTAACTGAATCTCTCTGAACCTCATATCTTCAGCTGCAAAATGAGGATTCTGATAGCAGTTCGTAGGTGGTGAGATTCACAAGACAATGTACATGAAAAGCACTATACAAATGGCATCTTATCAGGTAGAAGAGAATTTTGATCAGAGAAGCTAGTTTTCTCAGTGATTAGTCATCTTTTCAAATAACTTGAATTTGAGTTACTTCAACCTGGATTTAATTAAAGCTGCACAGAGATATGTAGATTTGTGATATATGGTAATTATAGTCTCACAGTTATACCCTAACATTTTTATTCAAAAGACAATTTAGCCTCAAGCCTTCATTTTGTAGAGGGAGCCGGAAGCACGGAGAGGCTGAGTCCAAGCTACTAGCGCAGAGCTAGTCAACAGCCAGGGAACAGTCAACCTAAGACAAATTGCTGTTAAAGTGGTATTAACTTACATTCATTCAGCAAGGGAGAAATGACAGCCACTCATCTATAGTCTGATAAGATAAAAGAAATGTCAGAGTGACTGTCTTTAAAGCATAAGCCAATCCATTAGTTTGAATGAGGCCAAATTAAAAATACTATATACACATATTATAGCCCCTGAATTTATTCATTCAAATGAATATCATATGTTCCCCTAAATGACTTCCTAAGAAATCTGTTATTAATAAGACCTATGGCTGTTATTATGTATATGTTTTGTGGGATTCTTCTTTGAGAAATGTACTCGTGATCATTTTACAAGCTATAGGCAATGCAAGGCTTATTAATTTTATATTCACATGTAATTTTAAAAATGTTGTGCCAGCTTGATTACCATTCTCATTTAAATAAATTAGTTTTGTGAGTCTTTTAGTTGGCTACAAAAATTAAAATCATTGCCCAAGGAACAAGATTTTTACTACATAGGTTTGAAAATGAATATGCGAATGGCTCAGAAGAAAATCTGAGAAGCGGTCAGTGACAGCTGGTAGGAAAAAATGTACAGCCGGCAAGGTGACTCCTAGGAGGAAACAGCAACTGTTTAAATATATGCATTTTGTCATTGGTGAGACTCAGTCATGTGCCTATATGGATTCAAAGTTTGACAAAGTTGTTTAAATAACTTATTTTCTTTGTGTACTCAGGCTCTTCTGACTTAAATATCCATTTTCATTTAGTTTAGGAAACGTTAAAGTACTAAAATGTTAGTCCTGTCATTCAGTAAGTTATTCATTATTTTTTTAGGTACTAAGAGCGTTCACCAACATCAGTGGAGCTTAGTTTTATGTCACATTAAGAAGGCTTTATGAAAATAAATATTCAATAGTTTATTTATACGTTACATTCAAGCATTAAAAATCTCTTGGGAAAAAAGTACTACTTCAGAACTTATTATTCTGCTGATTGCACCTTTGGTCAGTATAGTTACATCATAACTTAGAACTGGGGATAGGTGTCCCAAAACACCAAAAATGATCATCTTTAAAGGAACATTAATTATTCTTGCATCACTCCAGTTTCATGCCACTTTTACATTTCAAGCATATTTAAATTTCAGTAACTGAAAATAACAGAAAAAAAAACATGTAAGAATCAATGGCATGTGACATTGCAAGGTATGTTAGACATTTATCTTCAATATGGTAGGTGACTTCATGCAAAAAATTAGAAGTTTTCATGCAAATACAAAACAATGCCAAGAGGAGGGAAGCCTGGGGTGAGGACACACAGAGACTGAGAATGTGAAGGCATTTGGGCCCCAAAATGAGGTTGCATGCAAATCACATTGCTAAATTGATTCAGGGGTCAAATGAAAATGAAAAAGTGTTGTCTGTGGTTAATTCTTTTATGTTTCAAAGCAAGGAATGTAATATGTTAACATTTCCGAAGTATGAAAATGTTGTGTATCATGAGTTATCTGACTGAGACATAATCATACTGAGTACCACACTTTTTAAAAGAACAGAAAATACATAATAATACCTCGGACGTTTAACTATCTAAGTCTTATTGGCAAATGCCATTTCTTATTGGAATTACAAGGAAGGTAGTAGAATGATTGGTGGTTCCATCTCCAGACACAAAATTAGATCACAATTTTCAGTTCACACAGATTTAAAAGTCACACATTTAGAATCTTAAAACATTTCAACTATAAAAGATTATATGTGGCTTATAATGTTGGCACTATTCTTTATTTTTATTAGACACATATATCATTACATAAGCTTTTGCTACTGCAATGTTTTCTTTTAATATAGAAAAGAAAAATCTGCTACATGAGTGCTAGGTGAGAATAATAAATTAGCACTTTTGCTATTTATAAAACACATGGCTCTAAAGGAACTGAAGGCTGGTTTGTGGCTCTATTCTTCATCATACTTGATCAATGATGTTGTTAATTTTCCTACATTATAGCGTCTTCAATTCTGAGCCATTGCTTTTATGGCAGGAAACTTTGAATAGAGACTTTGAAAATACCAATCCAATGTGGCATGGGGTAAGCTGGCCTACCTAAGTTTCCTCTTGCAATTTGACATGAGTTATTGAGTTCTTAGAAATAAGAGCGATAAAACAACTCCCATTTATTGGGTGCTTAAGGCACAAGTTTGGTTCTAAAAGCTTTACACGTGTTAATTTTCAGGCTAACTTCCAAGTATTTCCTTATTTGTCCAGAGTCACACAGGTAGGTAAGCAGTAAAGTCAGAAATTGAATATTCTTGGTTGCAAATATTGCTGTTCTTAAGATCACAAGAAGTTTCTGCAACCCAAACATGCTTCAAGTTTATATTCAAAATTATTAGCATCCGGCTTTCTTCAGTGATTTTATTTATTTATTTTTTTTCTTTTGCCATTTCCTGGGCTCATTGCTTAGTTACTTATTTCAGCCATTGATGCCATTGGATTCCATAACACATCTTTGGGTTATCCTGCTATAATTTTTTGAATACCCATTTATATGTTTGAGGGCTCTATCCCATTTTCTTTGTTATGATATTATAGGAAGAAATCAAAAGAATTTTCTTCAGGTCATTGAGGGCAATTTAAAGGTAAGTATCCAAGACAGGCAAATCTATAAAGAAAGCTACATTACTACTTGCTTAGGGCTTATAGGTGGAGAAAGGAAGAACTGGCAGCTACTGGGCATGGAGCTTCTTTAGAGGGGATGAAGGTGCTCCAAAATTTGGTTGTGGTAATGGTTGTATAATCCTATAAACATAATTAAAAATACTGGATTGTATACTTCAAGTGGTTAATTACATCTATGTGAATTATAGCTCCATAAGGTCATAGCAGCCCCTCGCCAACCCCACACCATGGGATGAAAGGAAACAATTACAGCAGGTTTCTCATTTTTTTTGATGTAGATATTTTTATCTTTAATTGTATGTTTGGTCTCCAATCCTTGGAATCAACCAGCTATACATTACTTTTGTTTTCCTAACTGGTCTTGTCTCAGTTAAATGAATACCTTTCATGTTGTGACAGACATCAGAACATCTGTATCGGGAGTTAGCATCTTATCACTGTCACTCAGAAGTTGCTAGCTTGTTAGGTCAAGTGGCATGAAATCACCTAGCCTGACCAGCGAGACAACATATTGGTGAGCTGGCTTCAGATAAAATATATGCTTCGTGAAGAAAGAAAACAAAACAAACATAAATCGACTCCTTATCCTGCTCAGATTCCATGTTCTAAAAGACACATGAACTCTAAAATTAGGGACATGTTTCATTTTTTCTAACCTTCCTACTCTAATTTTTCAAGCCTCAAGTGTTTCACCTTCATGATAAGAATGTTGTCTGGGTAGAATTTTGTTTTAAAATATATTGAACTCAGATACATATTTTTTGTGGGCTCTTTAGTTTATATAAATGCTTTCCTCTTATTACGTTCTTCTGGGAAAGTTGTTAATATAAATTTGGCCATGTTTTCATGTGCACAAAAAGAATTTCAAAACAAGAGATGTTAAAGAACAAGTAATAATGAGACATGGGGGATTAAGGGAAAGATGAATTGGCGTGTGTGCGCATGTGTGCACACAGCTTCCCCCCAGAAATGTGTCTATGTGAATGATATGCTTAGAACATTGTCCAAATAAAAAACTGATAGATGCATGAATTAATGGATCTAGGTAAGTATTGGTAACTGTTAATATCCAAAGGAAAAAAAGAGAGAGAAGATAAACTTTTACAAATTAGCCTTGCCAATCTATTACTCCCCAAGCAAACCTCCTTCAAAGGAATCTGGACCCAATCAAATGTTTAGGTCTAATTACCAGTTTGCAGATATGAAGAAGTCACAGAAACATGGAAAACTACTTTATAAGGATGAAACAGCAAAATCTATGGTATGGGAAACTCTAAAATGAAATAACTTGGTTTCTTCAACATACAAAATGCACTCAAACAACACAAATGAGGGGAAAGTGAAGGACAAATGTTTACATTAGAAAGTCAGATCAACCAATTACACACTATAGTTATCATTTGGATCCCGTTGGAACCAACAAAATGTAAAACAACTCCCCCGAAAGCATTTATGATGCCTGTGAGCCAATTTCAACTCTAAAGCAGATCAGACATTTATTAATCCTGTAACTGTTAAATTTTATGTGTCACAATGTCATTGTGGTCATCCTATATTAAAATATTTACAACTGAAATGATGTGATGCATTGGGTTGCTTCAAAATATTGTGGATTCTCTG